TGTTTTATTCCTGTCTTGGATCCTGCTGATGTAATTTCCCAGACTTTGTTTTGTCATTTATTTTACATGACTGCCATCTAGTATACTGTTTTGAATCTAGTACCTTAGTATTAAACATGTTCAAGAGGCAGAAAGAACCTTTTTGGTCAAATAGTCTATCAGATGCAATTACTGGTCAAGTGTTGTTACATAGTCTGACTGCCAGTAGGTCGATATCAATAGTATATTAATTATTTTTCTATTTTTAGTATCCAGAGTTTCTAACGGCTGCGGATGCCGCTGATAGACTACGCGACTTCAAGTTGAGGTGAGATGTTCAGCTCTAGTTATTTTCATTATTTTTTATGATATCATTTCTCGAAGCTCGTGTTTAGCAGCCATTAAAACCAACAATTATAAGAATATACGTGGTTTGGAGATTAAATTTGCGCATGATTTGGAAATACTCGCTCGATATCTCGTTATCCATCTCATCCCCCACGTTTTGAAAGAATTGGTTTATTTCCCTGTCTCGGACAACTTTCCAGTGCTCTATTACAAATACCTCATTATATCTTTAGACTGCAATATGTTGGGCAACGTTGTCAGATGTATATCAAACAAATTAAAATGTCCTTAAACGAAAAGTCGGGCAAGGACAATGAATATAAAGTTAAAGCTTTGCGAACAACAACAAATATACACACCTTAGTCAAGGTAAGGTCTTTGAACTCTTAGCGCGATGTCTCCGTGAATAGATGAAGTGTTTTCTCTATTTTGGCAGTTGTTATATACCATACTTGATGCGAAGTTGTTTGAAGACGCTGCTCCCTGGTTATCATAGAATATTGCTTGATATTTGCAGTAGTATTCTTTTCCTCTTGCAAGAAGCCTCTTCGAGGAATCTTGTCCCTTTCGTAGGAATATTTGTAGAGAGCCACTTCAACCTTTTCACTCTTGTCACCTACCTCTGTAGCTCAGTGGCATTTTTCATCAACCGTTCCTGGCTTGAATTTAAAGTGTGTATAATTCCACTCGAAATTAAGACCCTTTAAACCTTTAGAATTTACCTGCCTCGAGTAAAGTGCCAAAAATCATAAAATAAAAAACGTTTAATATTTTTCAGGACCTATTTCACTCTCCGCCTTCATACAATAACCATGTTAATCTTTCGTGGGTTGACACAAAGAAGAACGTAAGTGGCAATTTGATTTGATAAAATGTATTGGTTGATTTTTACGTTTCGATGTAAGCACTTGTAATTAATCATCTAGAGCGATAATCAGTTTGTCCGGCGCTGTATATGCTAATATTTCAGTATACATTGACAGAAAAAAGATATGAATATAGATAATGTTAAAATCGCACAACGGAGACCAAACCCCCGGGCTTGCTATCCCAATCTGATACAAAAAAATTTTTGTTAGCATCGCAGGATGAACCGTATAATCGGTCTTTGAACAACAATCCTGCCTGCAAGCTCAGTGATGATGTTTATTTTATATCAGATCAGATCTCTGCTGAAAAATTTAGCAATAGAATCAACGTCTCATGGCTCGTGACTAATATAGCTTTATCTGCGTTTACGCTGACCGTAAGGGAAAGTTTGACACATCAGCTTTTCTTTATCATTTTTACAGCCTACTTCGAGCACTACGGCGAGTAATGAAAAACCCGAGGTAAAAACGGACACCGTTCTTGACGAAAAGTAAGTGTGCATGTGCTCAACAGTTTATTGTAAGGATACACTAGGCATGCACTAGTAATTATAACGACAGTCTTACCGCGTTCCATTAAAAGGGCCCAAAAATGGTCAAACCGGTCATATTTTGAATTGAAATAGAATTTTTCGTTAAAAATAAAAATCATAAAAGTGGATTTCCTGTGCCAGACATAATGATATGCTAAATAACGATATGCTTGAATGCAACCTTCTTTTTGGTTGCGAAATATTGGAAAAATAGCTATAGAAAATATAGCTCTGCATGGGAAGTTGACAATTTTTTTTATATAAATGCAAAATATTTTATGAAATATATATTGTACACATAATATTTCATTCTATTTGACAATTAAAATAAATTCAAGTGGAAAATTCCGCGTTTGATCGAAAAAATTCCGCCTATATTAAAATATTAAATGTTAAAATGGTGTAAAGGTTCTTCTCACTCAGTACAAAATTTGACATCTTCACTCGGCGATATTTTTCACACTTTTCAATAATTCGCCTCTTAACTTTCCAGTCTTACTATATAGGATGCTCTTTTAGCTGTATATTAACGCCTTTTTCCAGTTATTTTTAATTGGGGAATGGTCCATTGGCGAGATTTTTCTCAGAAAGGTTTTGTCATGGCCAAATTGAGTGTTTTCTCGAATGATTATGTCTTCTTGTGTATAATCATCTCAGATTTTAAAAACAATTTGTTATCCTTTCAGACGGAAACGAGCTGGAATTACACCGATAACATTCGATGCTAGTTCCCCACCAAAAAAGGCAGCAGGCGAGAAAAAGACGAAGGTGGAATATTACCTCCCGCCTGGCAGACGCGCTAACGCAAGCAATGGTAACGTTGAAGGCAAATCAATGCCTGGCCAATACAACCGTGGAGGATATAAAAGCGGCGGTTCTCGTGGTCGCTTTGGAAGAGGGAGATCAAGAGGGTATAATAGACGTGGGTGGAGATGGTAGATTTTTTAACTGTTAGAAGTTTTTTACATCGTGCAATGATCATGACTTTGAGAGGGTTTGGTGCTAATATATATTGCTAAGTTATGAACAAACTATACGTCATTGTTCTATTTGAAAACTAACTTTTGAATTTGTTTCGATAAACTTGCTTTTTTACCGCAGTGTTTTAGCCATGGCGTTAGGAACCGAGGGGCCAAAACTCTCCTAACTTTAGATATCACAGAATAAGTGCCTTTCTGTTTTGAGGTAAAGATTAAGGAAAAATTTAATTATATAGAACTACGGTTTTCTGCATGGCTTCGTACAGTTTATTTTTACAGTATACATAATACATGTCGACTTTAAGTGCCTGTTCCACCAGGCGAATGCCCTATAGAAGTAAATGCCCCTTCCCCCAACTTTGATGTGCTTCCTACGCCTATGGTTTTGGCAAAGCGGTTATTATAGTTCTTCCTGTGATTAATGCTGCCAGTGGTAATTTGTAATATAACGTGTAAATTCAGGTGTATCGATAGTTGCTTTTTAGTAAGACCCGTTTTCGAAAAGTCGAATTTTTCATGCGTCAAACCTAATAGTAATGAGCTAATTTCTTTCTAATCTTGCATTCGATCTAAATATTTAAAAGATATCGTGCATTTTTTGAAGAATCGTTAACCTTTGATATCTGTATTGCTACAACTATAAACGTTAAACATTCTCATTTTAAATATATTCCACCAAGACAAAAATGGATATGTTGGAATCTTAAAAATGGGATACACGCAGTAGCCTTGTCATCCATAATATCAATTTAGGTGAAAGTATGACTTCTGAACAGCTGCAAATGCTAACTACAGGTTACAACCTCATACCCAGCGTACTCAATCTATATACAGGAAATACGCAGTCCAGGTGTATGTGAATATTCATTCATCGTTCATGAGTTTCGGAAAGTTGATATTTTGTTTTAATATTTTGGTGTAAAAAAATCCCCATCCTTGTTATCTACGATACTAGAAAAATCAACTCGAAAAATCAACTTTCCACCTGGGTCGAGTAATCTCAAAGCCAAAGGCATCTCGTGATCGATGTAACATGAACCCGCTGAATGGACCACAGTAAGACTGCCAACCACGGATAGTCGTTTTGGGAGTTGAATTTGCAACATGATGGTCGGAGGAAAACCTAATGGCCGATAAAACTGCTTGTGTTTGCAGAGTACTTTCACAACTTTGGTTCCTCTTAAATGTAACCTGCTATGCGTTATTTGAACACATCTTACTAGAAAAATGAAAATGAAATTTGCATCAACGCGTGGAGCTGCAGTTAATGATCGTTCAGGTTTGCCTTTAAGATTCGGAGTTTTTCAAGTTTTGGTATTACCGACGACCGTCAATTGATTCTGGTGGTGATACTGGTGCGCTGTCGTCTTGGAGTCCTGGTCGTCGAGGTTTGCGAGTTGTTTACTCAAACCAGTAAACTCAAACCACTGACATAGTGACATGTTTTCATATTTCGAATTCTGGCGTATGGAAAATACTGGATTCATTCGAACTGAGAACGTGTTTTATGGGATCAAAATGATTACCGGTAAAAGTGCATACAAAAACTGAAGAGATCAGAATCAGCTGGCGTATATAGAGAAATATTATAAATATAAATAAGGTAATAGTTCAATATATATATATAATATTTTCCGTCGTAGATTTAATATGTCGAGTTTATGAGAGGAAATATTTCCAAACAAGTTAAACGTGTGCTAACACAAGGACAACAGTAAATATTGCAGCATCTTCAACTAGATAAGCCTGATTGTGACTTGTGAGAACTTTGAAATGCTTTAATGCAAGAGCATTGCCATCCCAGAATGTTAGCTGTTTGGTTTACTCTGTTAATTTTAAGTATTTTTATCCTGGGCATTCAACCATTGCAAACTGCAAAGTAAATATGTAATGAAACAAACCCAAACTTTCAGCAAGTTTGTGCACGAATCCAAATCACGTTTGGTGTATGGTATAAAGTCTGTTATTGATAAAGCAGTACTGCATTGGCTTTAGTTGATTTGCTGCCCATATGCAATGCAAGTCAACAGACTTGGACCTGACAAAATTGGATCATGTGAACAAACCTTAACTCTGACATTTTGGGAATGTTTTAATTGCAGAGACAAATATTCATGCTCACATTCTAGCAAGTTGCACAAGTATGCACCCTAAATCCTTATGTAAAGCAACTACTGACCTGTATATATATTAGTATGTTAGTTAATCTGGCTGAGTGCACCAGCAAGGTCAAAATGTGTCAGTGGGAGAACCAAAACTTTTTGCTTAAATTGGAAGTCACTGAACAACCATCTTTTGGCATTAAACTTCATCTTGCACACTCATTCCAGATAAACTAAATTAATATACTAATGCATACAAGTCAGTGAAAGCAACTTGTATCATAGCCCAGAACATGTGCATCACTTTGCACAGTTTGTTGTTTCTGTGTCAGCATTTTTGAAAAACACCCAATGAAATGGCTGATCTTCAGGTGTTTCATTACAAGCTGCCAAGCAATGATTTCCAGCACGTACTCTAGGCAGTAGGCTGCTTTGTATCTAGTATTAATTTTTTTAACTTTTCTTTCTTAGGTAAAAAAATTCAGCATGTCTTGTTTTTCTCAAATACTGAGAAGAAATGTTCATGAATTCATGCAGTTGTCAAGATTTAACCTTTCAAATATCCGGCATCTCTCCACACCAACGCTGGAATTTGATTACGTAATTGTTGGTGCTGGCTCTGCAGGTTGTGTTCTGGCTAATAGACTGTCAGAGGACAAGGCAAATCGAGTTGCCCTATTGGAAGCCGGTCCAAAAGACAATACATGGACAATCCAAATGCCAGCTGCTCTGACGTACAACCTTGCAAATAATAAATATAACTGGTTTTATCACACTGTACCACAGAAGCATTTAAATGACAGGTAATATTTCATACCACTTTTTTACGATTTGTGATGACATCTCTGATTACATAATACTTGTGATATTATATGCAAAGGTACATAAATTTATAGGTAGGGATAGTTCACCCCCTATCCTGGGGTATGCAGGATGGGTATAAATATGTAAGCAGATTAGTATCAAACTATACATATTCTGGTGTACTTAGTACCAACCACCCCATATCTGGTTTATTCAACCCTAAATGTTCATTGCACATCATCTTTCTCCTTTTGCTTGTTGAGTTCTCTACTTTCTCCAACTATAAGCTGACTTCTCTACTTGCTTGTTGATTTGAGCAGCTTTGGTTGCATATTCGCAGTCATACACTACACATTCAAGTGAGCTTCCTGATTTTGAGTGAATGCATACGCGCTACATCAAACAAAGCCACTTAGAATTTCAAAATGTGACAGGGCAAGAATATTATAAGGCTACCAGGTACATTATTATGTTATTATGTCTTCGTTGTAGGGTAATATATTGTCCACGTGGTCGTGTTTGGGGCGGATCCTCTTCGCTAAATGCCATGGTTTATATTCGTGGACACGCATATGACTACGATCGATGGGAGAGTGAAGGATGTGATGGCTGGTCGTACGCCGACTGTCTGCCGTATTTTAAGAAGGCTCAGAACCATTGCTTAGGTATTTAGCTCACCTTATAAAACATACATCAATTAACAACCTTATTTGGCAGTATTGCATTTGCGTATAAAACGTCAGATTGCAATAAAATTTGGTCAGGATTGAAAATTTAAATGTTATATGCAGGTCATTTGGAAGGTGGATAACTCCTCGATTGCCAGTAGTTGAAATAATTTTTACGTCTTGAAGTCTGAAAAATAGCCTGATGCCTCTTTCTGCGATGATTATTCATTTTTATTACCACATTCGGTCTGTAGACACAAACACTGCCCCACCTGATTTTAATAACTACTGTATTAAGTCTATACCAGGAGGCGTCTAACTATAGATTCAACACTGGTTTTTCTCCTAGTTTAATGTGAATAGGAAGGGAAAGGGCAAAAGAAGAGTTCAGGAAACAAGACGTTTAGGTTAAAGCTCAATTCTTGGTTTGCATATGACGTCATAATCAGTCATTCAGCGCCATCTTGGTTGATTCTACAAAGTTTTACTTCTGCTACTATTCTGTAACTTCTTACAACTATTAAAAACTATTAAACAACAACTATTAAAATACAGCAACGATAAAAAAATTATTTGCGCACATGTTTTGGAAAATCAACCAAGATGGCGGCAATTGCAAACCACCTATTGTAACCGTAAATGTGTAAATTTTAGGGTATACACTATGACTTTGAAGTATTGAAATGAGTAAATAACATGATCCTGGTAGACTGGTAGTCGTGTAGTCATCCTAATAATAGTGCTTGTTTTGTTTTAACAAGACTTGTTTTAATACCTCGGGTAACCGGGCTCGATAGTGAACAGCCCCCAAATTAATGACCCCTTTTTTTTCAATCTTAGGGGAGGACGATTACAGAGGAGGCAGTGGTCCATTGCATGTCAGTCAGGGCAACTGGGATAATCCCTTGTTTAAGGCTTTTGTCGATGCGGCAGTGCAGGCCGGGTATAAATATACTCCTGATATGAATGGCTACAGACAAGCCGGGTTTGGTCCCATGGATATGACTATACACAAGGGCAAACGTTGGAGCACCGCAAACGCATATTTGAAACCTGTGCTTGGTAGAACTAATCTAGTTGTGTTGACCGAGACCTTTACTAGAAAACTGTGCATCGAAAACAATAAGGTGGTTGGTGTGGATTACCATAACGCTGGAAAAAAGATTGGTCATGTACGAGCCACGAAAGAGGTGAGGTGATAACTTTTAATCACGGGTTATCCTTTCGGTATGAATAACAAGTGTATGCAGTAGTGGCACCACCAATTTCACGATCTCTGAGGAAAAGCAAAGGCGTCGTCTCCCACTATAATAGTGAGTTTAAGATGCACCAAATCTAGGACACGGACGCGAAGTTAATACTGCTCTAATCTCCACAGTTTCCCAACAAGGATGGAAATTATGGGCGTTTGATAAATAAAGTCATGGCCGTAATTAAAACAAATGAATACCAGTATCCTAATATATGGTAGTACTGTTTTTCATGTCACGTCCCCGTCGTAGATCTGGTGCATCTTAAACTCGCTATTAAGAAAATCCAGCAGAACAAAATTCATCAGACGAGCCTAGATCAGGGTTTCCACATCTTATTTGTATATGATTACATGTCCACATCAGTAGATATAGGATTGGAAAAACTATAGAGTGAGACAAATAACTTTTGAGGAGTATGTTATTATTTAAGCAGTTATATATTTCCATCTCCACCCTTCATATATAATTGTGGTGTGTTTTTTTTCATAATATTTTTCCTTCTTAATTGAACACCGCTCTTCCGCTTTTTAAAGAATTTATAGAAAATGACGAGTCTGCAAGTTGCGTCTTGCTTAGCTGTGTAAATTGAACGTTGTTGTGTTGTTGATAAGCATCGTGGTAGGCCTGCATGTATCCACAATTCATTGTTCTGAACCACTCACCAAAAATATGTATCCCCGCTAGCCAATTGCAAATGTGTAAACTAGAGGAAATTCTATGAGTCGAAATACTATAAGTGCAAGTTTGGTAAATAAACTGATTGTAAAACCATGCTTTTTGCATGCAATTCCTATAGGTGATTTTGGCCAGTGGAGGTATAAATTCTGCACAGCTTTTGATGTTATCTGGTATTGGCAATGGTGATGATCTTAAAGAACTTGGAATTCCTGTTTCCCTTCATTTACCTGGGGTTGGATACAATTTACAGGATCACTTGGAAGTGTATGTCCAGCATGTAAGTTAAACGCTGAATATCCTCATCTCTCCGTTGTATCATCGCTTGAACGCAGAACGAGTCTGCACCAATCAGAATGCAGTAAATCAATAGTCAATTCACACTAACACTGGAAATTTTTTCAAAAATCACCATACTATACCCAGAGTATAGAAGTGGAAATTAGTATGGATATTATGAATTCCATACTATTTCCAACTAGAATCCATAAACTATTACTTAATGGTTTTCGTGTTTGGATGCCCTGATCCAAACACTAGCTTCGACCAATCAGAACGCACGTTATAAATGTTTTTTCTAATATACTCTCTCTTGCCATAATATGGATATGAAAAAAATTTGCATAATAAACAACTTTTCAAAACTCATATCGGTTGTAATATCGTGCGACGTAAATTATTTTAATTTTATTGCAGATATTGCAAAAATTTATAATTTTCCCCCAAAAAATGGCAAATTATTTAATAATTTAGTCGAGCTTTGATCCGGATGTTATATGGAGGTCATTGGCTTACACCTACTCGAAACTCTCGAAGTAGCCGTAATCATGTTGCTGTATACTTATATTTTCCTCATTCCTTCACAACCAGGAATGTACTCAGCCGATCACACTCTATACAGCGCAAAAGCCATGGAATATGATGCCCATTGGAGTCCAATGGTTCGCCTTCCGGACCGGTTTTGCGTCGTCTTCTCATCTAGAAGCTGGTGGTTTTGTACGCACTCGAGAAGATATACCGCATCCCGATGTGCAATTTCACTTTTTTCCCTCGCTCGTTATTGATCATGGACGAGTTCGACCAAATAAGGAAGGATTTCAGGTTGGTTTGCGCGTACATACGTTTACATTATAGCGAATGCGTGGATTTCATCTTTGCCCATTTATGATTTAATCTTTTTTTTTTAAATTTGAAACGTCATTCCATCGAAATTTCGTGGAACGCTTAATATCAGGGAGTGTGCTAATCGCGTTTATTGAAATCGGGGCTCGTCACTTCTAGTCATCATAGACCTCGCGGGGTTAACACCGGGCTGAATTTTTGGGATTTTTTTTCCTATTATATAAGTATTTTGATATTTTTAACGGATTTTCGGATTTCGCTCTGTGGGATGCCCAAAGTTCAAGGGGATGAACTCCTTAAAATATTTAGGTTTTTAGTTTTCTGAAATGTGTTCAGATGCATTTAAAATTGGGCCTTTTACTCTTTAACTTTTGCTTTTATACCATGAATTGTATTCAGCCTTACAAAAGTGAAGCTTATATTTATGTTGGGCATCGTTTGATATCAAGAACCAGCTCTGGGAATTTATATCTATCGAAAAATTCCCTAGGGCTGAAATATGTCGGGCATATACCACTGACTGGGCATGCTTATAGTAATAACTTCCTGCATTACCGGTACACATTTTTAAAGAAAACTTATGTTCTTAAAATCATACAAGAGCGCATAATGCGCATTTACATATCCTGAATTTCTTAATACAAACATTACGATTCCTGGGGGGCACACTATATGTAATATTAAAATAAGCAATAGCCGAGTTTAAATTATGATCCCGGTTTCGATGGGGATCAATCTACTGGTAATGCTCCAGGGGGTGAAAATAGAAACTTTTTGTCTGGATGAGCGTTTGCAAGAAGTAAACTTGACGTTTTCTACCACTCACAACCCGTGTTTTAGTCTTCATGCCCCCAACATGTACAATACCGCCATCTATAGTGTTTCGAGCAACGCTCTCTTTTCTAAAAACCGTGACTTCCTGGAAGTTCGGTATTAAGAAAGAGAGCCCTTACAGACAGTTCTAAGACAGGGTAAGAACTGAAAAAATGTTGGGGGGGGAGTGTGCAGTATCTTCACAGCAGGTAAGAGGCATCATTGCAATGTTCAAATATGGTCGTATCTGTAAATATTACCCCTCTGGATCCCCCTATTTCTCTATTGAGACAATCGAAAATACCAGTAAGCTGTCCCTACAGAAATGCAACAGTACCGGTCTGGCCGTTTTTACTGTTTTTATTGTAACATGTTCATCTAAGCTCGTGATTATTATTGTTTCATCTCTTTCGTTAATATTCTTTCATTTCTTTCATGTTTTTAGGCTCATGTTGGCACTATGCGTGCCTTCAGCCGTGGTTACATGAAGCTGGATCCAACGAATCCATATCATGACCCCTTAATACAACCAAATTACTTCGAACATCCCCAAGATATCATCGACATGAGGGCAGCTGTGAAAATTGCAAGAAAAGTATTTGCCCAGAAAGCTTTAGATCCTTTCCGAGGACCAGAAGTCACACCAGGTAATCGATTTACTTTGCTATTGCTTGCTTGTGGCTTGTGATGATGAGTTTATAGGCATGGGTTTATTTTTTCCAAAGTACATCCAAAAACAATGAACAAAGTTTATCTCACGTAAAATAATTTGATGTGGAACTTTCTATGTAATTTATGCATTATTATTTAGAAAGTTATCAAATTATTTGTGAGTATAAATGAGAAAAATTTTTACTCGCCCCAGCGGCTCGTCCATTTTCAAACATCACTTGTAGTATTAATCCCACATTGTACTCTCTATATCGATGGCTTACCTATTAGTATCAGGACAAGCGAAATATTATGTCGAAACATGTTTGTTTTCCACGGCACAGTTTGTTTCAGAAAATCTCCCTTAAATTGTTTGGTATATGCATGTAGTCATTTGAAAAAGTGCACATGACTTCAAACAGACAATTGCCGTTCAAGATTTGAACTAAATTGATGCTTTTTAGAAATTGTTTGCGCAATGTAAACTATGCACGCGTATAGTATACCTTCTTATAATTATTTCGAGAAATCCGGTCGAAATATATGAAAATACAAGCGGTATCTGTGCTGCAGATTGGCCATGGTATGCCATACCGCTTGTATTCTCACATAGCTATTTCTCCTTTCGTCCCCTCATACAACCGAAATCATACTTTTTCAATCTAACCGAACAGCCCTTATATATAATTCGAATTTTACATCTTGTGATTACTATAGGAGTGGATGTTACGAGTGATTCGGCCATTGATGAATTCCTGCGAAAAAAAGCAGACACGTCGTATCACCCGTGCGGTACTTGCAAGATGGGTCCAGAAAACGATCCTATGGCGGTTGTAAATCCTAGTGGTTGTGTATATGGAATAGAAGGACTTCGGGTGGTTGACTCATCAATCATGCCCAGTATAGTGAGTGGCAATCTTAACGCACCGACGATAATGATGGCTGAGAAACTGGCTGATGTGATTTTGGGTAAACAAGCACTGCCCAAGTTAAACAGCCCTGTCTGTGAGAATGTGGAAAAATGAGTTCGAATATATAAGTATGGTTTTTATCAAATTTTATGAAATTCTGCTAAAAATTCTGTTTTGACGGTCAGGCAACAAGAAGGGGTTTCGTTTTTAACTAATCCGCAATTTTTTTTACATTTTTCAGGCCAAGCCAATTATAATGCCTAAATTTTAATACTCCATTTAAATGGTAAATATTGCGCCGCTTTACTGGAAATAGTCAATATCAATGCATTCTGATTGCGTGGGGTTTCTGAAAATGTAAAAAAAATTGCAGATTGGTCTGAAGCAACAAAGAGGAATTTCGTTTTGAACAAATCCGCATATATTTGTAAGTGAGAAAAGAAAATAATGTTACCTTGCCGAGATTATTTCGAACGCAGTTTAAACTCTTTTTTCCCTTTAATAATTATAATACATATTAACAGTTGTTTATCAACTAGGTTTGTTTAATCTCGTTTGTCTTCTTTTTCCTAAATTTATGGTTATATTTACATTTCTTTTCGCTATTCCTAAGTGAGGCTTCGTTCTATTTCACATTTGCTCCTTTGTTAATTTTTCTAATTTTTCAAGTGCAGTTTCATGTGTTGAACATAAAATTCCTATTCACCATTTTTGCGATCGCCTCTTTTATGCACCATCGTTCGTTGAAGGTGATTGTTTTTCGTTTATGAAGCCCGAGTAGTTTGATAGCGTGTCTGTCAGTTGCAATTTTCGTTCGGTGACGTTATCAACAAGTTTTTGATGACTTCTCGACCACCGGATGGTTGCTGGATTCCAGCGTTGTTTAGTAGGTATATTCCAGTGAACCGATATAGAAATTAGAAAATAAATTAACTGTGAGCATGGCGCGGTTATAGAACTGCCAAGGAAAGTAATCCCAAGAAACAGGTTTTGCAAGCGAAACAGTCCTGAGTCCCTCTGGCCGAGTTTTCTCAACGACACACGTCACACAAACCATTGTTATCGTGGCTCTCCGTAAATTATCTCCTTAAAGATATGGCGTTTAACGATTTTTACACACATGCAGCTCCCATTATTTTTCCATACGTCAAGTCATAAAATTTGTGGCCGGTAAAACCAGTGAAATATTCAAGTTTGTTTTCTGCGTAATAAACTTGAATATTTTGGAATGTGTTTTTTAAAAATCAGTATATTGGATTTAGAAATACGACTGACTACGCTGTGTGTTGTATTTGCGAGATTCAAGTTTCAAAATTTTTCCGGGGTGGATGCCTCTTAGAGAGCTGCTGTATTGTTACAAATATCGCGCCAGACTTTCACAAAGAAATGAATCGGAAAAGAAATGAAATTTTACGGCGTTAGGAATTGTATTGTATGGTGCTAAATTGGCTCTCACGATGGCCGTTTGAAATCTTAATTCCAAGATTGCAAATATCACCTTTGGTCATAGGATAAGCTATTAAAATTATCTTGTCGCCCGGACACTGCGAGCAAGTATATATACATATACGCCGCGCTAACGCTTATTGAACCCATCAACAGCGTGAACGACCAATCAAAATCATTTCTGTTTTCGATTATCCCAGAGCCTTTGTTTCCTCGCCAGAGGAAATCGCGGGCTCGGGGAACAAGATTAGCTTGGTTCGCATATTTGATCACTGATGTGACGCCTCCGAATGATTCAATTCAATGATAGGATTTCGGATTTAGTTTATTTTAATGACGTCAGATTTATAAATGTCCCGAACTAGGCTAAATCTCTCTAAATCTACCAAACCGGTACATTATTTCCTGGTTCCCATTTGGTCGTGAGTATCGTGAACACGCCAAGGTGGCTGATGACTGATGTGATAGAATATTTTTATTCATGCGCAGTCAACAATGATCGATTTGAATACAGAAATAAATCCTTCCTCACTATTTCTCATCGCTGAAAATGACAATTACGAATAAATGGAAAGCAGGCTAATAAAGCAAATATGTTTTCCTATAGTACGTTTTTTACAGGACATGAGGATGGTTTTGGCGGCCATGTTGATTGTTCCCAGTTAGTCATTTATCTGCAAAGTGTTCAAAGTCATTTATCTGCAAAGATTGTTCCCAGTTTAACTGTCATTTATTCTGCGAACTCGAGTCGTATATGAGCTGATAGCCAACGAGGCGCGTAATAACTGTTTTATTATATACAAACTTTGTCGCCCTTTCGGTGCATTTTGGTGAGCTATTATCAACCAAAGCTTGGATTTCTATTCACTCAACTCCCCAAATCTTTCGGCCATTTTGTTTACTTTCTCTACTAGACAGATATGAGCTAATATCTGTCTAGTAGCCAACCAATCAGATTGCAGCATACCTCATATCTGGCGCTTGTGTATATAATAAAAAGAGTTATTACGCTATTGCTGATCAACAACTGCGTGGAAACGTTTAGAATCTCCTTACTCCTTAGACATCTCCACAACAACAAATTATAGTTTAAGTGCAAGACCATTAAAAATGGCTGCCACTGGATTCAATCATTCTTGTGACAGACGCGTGCCAGTCCTCATGACGGTTTAGACTCAAATGTTTTTTCGAGGAACATCGCTCCTATTAGTCCTATAACCCTGTTAATTTCCCTAAATTTTATTACTATGCATAAAATATCATACCTTGATACAGAACAAAAGTATACCACAGGTTCAAACAGTTCAACACCCATTCTAAGACGCTTCGTCAACGCTCCCCAAGCATGCTGATCGTCTACATTAATTGTTTAACGACATACTTGTGTCTGCGTATTTGAGCTCGTCTATCACTAATATTTGGTCGATCATTAATTACCGTCTTCTAATTATTTGTTTATTTTAATGCCGCCAAAATGAATAACTTAGCCATTGGTGCATATATATTTTACACAAATTGCATGATCGTGAATGTGGCACATTTACAACTCGTGCTTCAAGATTTCTTATTGCATTTTAATAGTTTTACTTGTTTTCAGTGTGTTGATAATTAATGCGATATTTGAGTGGCGATTTATGTCCTCTGGTAAAATCTCTCCGGTTGCATCGATGCATCATTATACTGAATAGAAACTGCGCCGTATATTTATGGTTCATGGGCATAGATTAGAACAAATTATCAAATATATAGTAACATTCCAGTACTCCACTTTCTGTTTTCGCCTGCCGTGACTAAAAATTTCGCCAAGGCCAACGGCAAAGTACTTTTTATGATTTTCCAAGATTGTCAGTTCCGAAAACAAACAAATTTCTGCTGCTATAAATTTCACGTGCATAACCAAACAACCGACATAAACCATGCAGTTAAACACCAAGAGAAAACTCCGGCGGCAAGCGGCATTGTAAAGAAGATCAACGGTCTCAATGAGACGACTCACGGATGCACGAATAGCCGATTAATTGTAGGCTGGTAGATCTCCAGATAAACAAGTTTTTACTACTAAGCGCGCAAAGCAGGTTGGTCGAGTTAACGGCACTAAAGAATGCGAGACCGTTAGCAATGACTCCCTGATACTGGTACGGAGTATCCGTGAGTCAAAAATGGGCCATGCGATGCTAGAAGTAGGTCCACGTGTCAGAGGCTAGTTTAGTAAAAACATTACAACCGCGCTCTTTCTGGATTCCTTGTAATAATTTTGTGTTTGTTTGGCAATAAGGATCAATCACAAAGAAGGCGACGTGTAGTGAAGGAAGCACCGCATGTGTCAAATTGCTTCAGTAAAATGTAGCAACACGCCATAATTAGATAATGTTGCATGGATTTTATTCACCGGTATAGTACAATTTGGCAATGAATAGATTAACTATTAAGAACATTTTATACATATTCACTCAGATAAAGTGCATTTGTATTGGTTAAAACACAGTGACAAAAAATATTACAGATTTCCTTGTCTTTTGACTGTTTATATGGCACCCTGCTTCAACCTTTTGTATGGAAAGGAATTTAAACAAAGTCATGGATATGCCAAATGACACGGCTATTTGTGGGTTGAAACAGAATTCATTATGAATATCTCTGGAATTCGTATCATGCGTATCCTCACTTGTGGCAATCAATTCGTTCACTTGCTTTTAGAAAATCCCGTATTTCATTCTTTAAGATTCAACTTTAGTACATTATATTTGCACATCGGAATCCAAATTACAATTTTCCACAGCAAATGTTCTTGAATTGTAACACAGAATTTACACAAATGAACAATTTGAATAAGTGAGATTCCAGCCAAAAATGCTGGCCAATGATAAGCGTTTCGCGTAACCAAGATTGCATTTTGATTGGTCCATCAGACTTGACTGAAATACCAACGTTTTTAAGGTGTTGAAATCTGCTCCACTCTTCACTCACCAGTCGTCAGGCATTAACACAAGCTTTCTGTTGCAGCAAAGCCGCTTATAAAATTTGCAAGTGTTGTTTTCCTAATATACACTGGTAAGTAGAATTACAATATAATAATACGTTCCGTGATATACCTTTAGAGATAATCTAAGATTAGTTATAGCATATCTGATACAGAACATGTCACTCAACAGAACAGATGGCATACCCATAATCTGTTCTAATAAGGCAATAAACATTTTGTTGATAGCTCATTGAACCATCTGTTTTATGTTTTTCGCTTTCTGTCCGTTTGATTTTGTCACAAACATACGTATTAAAGCAAGCTCACTCTGACGCAACTGATTATAGTGGCTGTTAGCGGAAAATTTATCATGCCTGCATACATGCATGTATAGGTTCGTTCTATCTGTGAAGAAAATCCGGGAAAATTTTGATGTGAAAATATTTACTGATGAAACATTTGTCTGGCAGAGTCACCGAAGAGATTTGTATCGTATTATTTTCCAGCACATATTAACCAAGGGACCATATTTCATATGTTTTCATACGAACATGTGTGATATTTATCTGTGCGTTCGCAGAATGTGTCTAAATTAGCAGTCAAAAGATTTCAACACACCAAATTTTATCGAAAGCCAATCAGTTGTTTTTTCTGCACATTGTTTCAAACTGACTTGCCACGATGAAGCAGGTGGCTCTGTTGCTTGTCTACTAATGTCGTTTCGGTTTCATTATGCACACGCCTCCA